ATGTTACACTGCATAGCTAGTTCTTCTTGTTCTTTGCGTGCTTCAGCTTTTATCAAAGGATACCTACACCTGATGTGCAGTGTCATATGTGTCATATGTCCCACCCACGAATCAGAGGACAGCTGAATTGGCTTAAACAGGCTCGATATGAAGCGCTTAATGTGGAATGTAATAGAGGTAAAGTCGAAAGCACTGAAAATAAAGACTGAATGCAGATTTAATAAAATGATGCTCGGGAGGATGGAGGGAGCCAGGATGTGGCATGTGTGCATGACGTCATTTCTCCATGTACTGTGCGCCATTTTGGAAGAAAAAAAAAATCACGGATAATTTCCGTGGTCTTGACAGATCCGGACCCGAGTCTTCACACTGATTGTGGATGCTATCTGTTCCCCCGAGCAAGCCGCATTGGTTGATTAAGTATTGGAAGCTGTGTAAAGCAAGAGCTGCTAAATGAAGCAATGGCGGGTAAGCTACTTTTGAAGGGGTGAGAAGGATCCACCTCACTTGGTGTGTGTGATGGCCTGAATCTGCAAGTTAGCTAGCCAACGTTAGCGCTGGCGAGCTAAGGTGCTAGTTGTCAAACTGTGTCACTGTCAGGTCGTTTTATCGCCACACGAAACGCGAATCAGACGCAAACCAACACTGTGTTCTTTTGTCTCTTTTGTGTTTTTTTTTACAGGAGTTGCAGGAGGAAATGATTTCCAGTGGTGTTTCTCTCAAGTGAAAGGAGCGATAGATGAAGATGTTGCGGAAGGTATGTGGCTAACGTTAGCTCGGCGGTTAGGCTGGAACGGTGGGAAGCTAGCTAGATGGTCTGATGATGATGATGATGCTCTGTGGACTTCACATGAGATGCACGATAGCTAGATGGTCACACAGGTTTTAATACAGGGCAGCTGTCGTGATTGGTGTGAGTCTGTTTGTGGATCAATTGCACAAACGCCCTTTCTTCAGTAAATAACTGTATGCCGCTAGCTAGCTTTATGCTAGGTGGTGGCTAAGCTATTAAAAGGGGAGCGACCGTGTCCATGACGTCAATGTGCTGCGTCCATAAATTGTCAAAGTGACATCATGCGTGTTTTCATTCATTCATACATGAATGGGTGTGTGTGTTGTGCGCGTTTGGCTGTCTGTGTGTCACAAGAAAAATGTAATCTGCACCGCTAGCATGATTCTAGTTGCCATCAGAACTGTAATCGAGGAAACTGAGCTGTGAGGTCTTAATCAGTCTGTGTGTCCATTTTCAGCTGACATAATCTCAACGGTTGAGTTCAACTATTCTGGAGAATTGCTCGCAACTGGAGATAAAGGAGGCAGAGTAGTGATATTTCAACATGAACAAGAGGTAAGATTCATATGGAGCAAGACAAGAGTATCTTCATCAGCAGTCTAATGTCAGAAGGTACATGCTGACTCTATGTTGCAATGATACTGTGTGCACTTTGTGACTTATGTTTACAATGTTTTCTTCCAGTCTAAGAATCGTCCACACCTGCGCGGGGAGTACAACGTCTATAGCACTTTTCAGAGTCACGAGCCAGAATTTGACTATTTGAAAAGTTTAGAAATCGAGGAAAAAATTAATAAAATAAGATGGCTACCCCAACAAAATGCTGCTCACTTTCTACTTTCGACAAATGGTAAGAGTTCCGAGTTTATCTATTTTGATTATTTGGTATTAGAATTTTAAATTGTGTGAATGAACTTAATTCTAATTATTCTTCACCTCTAAATTTTACAACTTCCTTATCTGTTTTTGTCAGATAAAACTATCAAATTGTGGAAAATTAGTGAAAGAGATAAACGAGCAGAAGGTTACAACCTGAAAGATGAGGATGGACGACTCAGAGACCCCTTTAGAATCACCTCTTTACGGGTATGTAACCTGTGTCATATTCAAACATGGCTGTTTATGGTTTTAATAAAATCTTATCTAAATAGGTGCATGTTGTATGTTTCAGGTACCAGTACTGATGCCAATGGATCTCATGGTAGAAGCAAGCCCACGGAGGATCTTTGCAAATGCGCACACCTATCACATTAATTCCATTTCTGTAAATAGTGATCATGAAACGTACCTCTCCGCAGATGACCTAAGAATAAATCTATGGCACTTGGAAATCACAGACAGAAGTTTTAGTATCCTTTTTGCACATCAGAAAGCAGCAGATATTAGATATGTGGCTTAGGGGTCAATAGTCTCTGCACTCTTTCATAATGAAATGTAAGACTGTTAGTTCCTTAACAGTGTGTTCCCAGATATTGTAGACATCAAGCCTGCCAACATGGAGGAACTGACAGAAGTAATCACAGCTGCTGAGTGCCATCCACACCAATGCAATGTATTTGTGTACAGCAGTAGCAAAGGCACCATCCGCCTGTGTGACATGCGAGCAGCGGCACTCTGCGATAGGCACTCAAAGTGTAAGTACCTCCACTGCATGTGAATTGAGTAAATTAATTAGTCGATCAGTGGAAAAATCATTGATTAAAGTTTAGATGGATCAATTAAGTAATTAATTAAAAATACTAGACATTAAGTAATCTAATATTTAGATTTCCTGCTTTTAAAACATCACTTTCTTTATTTTGAGTTATTGTAGTCTAACAAAGTCATGCTGGGAATGATTAGAAATATTAGAAATAACAATTGAGGATTTATTTATTTATTTTTTAAGTCTTTGAGGAGCCTGAGGATCCAAGCAGCCGATCCTTTTTCTCTGAGATCATCTCCTCCATCTCGGACGTGAAGTTCAGTCACAGTGGACGCTATATGATGACACGTGACTACCTCTCCGTCAAAGTTTGGGACCTCAACATGGAGAACAGGCCAGTGGAGACATATCAGGTGCATAAACATACTTATCTTGTGACTTAAAATATAACTGACATTAACCCTGCGTGAAAACGAAGTAAGCATTGTTTCAAAAATGATCTCTCTGAGTCAAGTGACAGCTTAAAATCAGTAATGTAACAAATTAAAAAGCACTAAATGTTTTTTCTATGATTGAAGTTTTAAACAATGTCATTTTGACTATGTGGCATGCAAGCTCCTAATGACTCAAAAAAAGTAGGAGCCTCACAAGTGTGTCTGTTGAATCTGAGGACAGTTGTGCTAAAATGTTCCAAGCAGAAGTCACTGTTCATGTGATAAAATTGTAATATGCAGGCCAAGTATTGTGTTAGCTGGATGATCCCTTTTGCACTTAAATTCTATTCATACTGATGAAGACATCCGCCTCAAGTGAATATTCAGGCTAAGTCTTTTGTTTTGTTTCAGGTGCATGAATACCTTCGCAGTAAACTCTGCTCCTTGTATGAAAATGACTGCATCTTCGACAAGTTTGAGTGCTGCTGGAATGGCAGTGACAGGTGAGTCTACTTGTTCTTGCATGGGATGGCATTACACTTGCTGTTACTTTAATTGTTTATTTTATAATATTCAGAACACTGTTCCTGGGTTTTGTATTAAATGTGTCTATCACTGGTGACACTCTAGGTTTTATAGCAACTCCGTGCAAACAATCACTTTGAATGTCTTTCTCCATCAGTGCCATCATGACCGGCTCCTACAACAACTTCTTTCGAATGTTTGACCGCAACACCAGGCGGGACATCACACTGGAGGCGTCCCGGGAGAGCAGCAAACCACGGGCTACGCTCAAACCCCGCAAAGTGTCCACTGGTGGCAAGAGAAAGAAGGATGAGATCAGCGTGGACAGCCTGGACTTCAACAAGAAGATCCTCCACACTGCCTGGCACCCCAAAGATAACGTGATAGCTGTGGCAGCCACCAACAACTTGTACATTTTCCAGGACAAAATCAACTAGAAGATTTGGGGCTCCAGAGGATAGGGCTTTTACCGTACCTGTGTAGTTAAGCCTACTACTTGTCTATCTGTATAAGAAGAAACAGCCTCGTTGTCCTCCTGGTGAAGAATTCGAAAGCACGTGTCTACTTTTTTTGCCACAGGAGGTTGATCCATAGGCCTGTTTTATTTTGAGTCTGAGCTTAGGTTGTTTTTGCCTTTGGCACCAGGGCAATCAACATGCCCCCCTGACCCAGAAAGCCCAATTCGGGTCTAATTGACGGAATGGCACTCCCTAGAGGTCAAACTCTTGAACGTTGGTGTTTGTGTTGACATTTTAAGCCTTCATTTCATGATTTAACAACAGAACTCTTGGAAGCCCTTAAAATGACGTCTTGTCAAAGTTGTAACATCATTTCAAAGATTTTGGGCCCTCTGAAGCACGGATTAATGGCCAATAAGCCTAACTGTAACATTCCCCCATTGGCCATGTATTCAGGCCAAACTGCTGGTGGAAGAGGCCATGAATTTGGAAAGTGGACTTGTTTCTTTTCTTCCCCTCCCTCCTCTTACTTTACCCCAGTCAATACGGTGACATAATTTCACTGACTGTATCTACTCAAGTACACCTTGTCATCCACATAATAAAAGAAACTAAAACTACAGATGTGTTTTTAAATTTAGAAGTATGTATTAAAACATGTTTATTGCTTTGCATGTTTTTATGTTGTAGAGAGGTGGAAAAATGTTCAGTCACACCACTGTCTTTTGAGCAGATCTCAAGCAAACTTGTCATGGAAATACTATTTGGGGCTACCAGTTTCAGAACCACTGTTGGAGACAACCAATAATGTGTTTGTGTCAAGAGATTAATTTCTAGTTTTTGACCATGTTTTAGGATGCAGGCTGGAAACTACATGGCACAAGATGGGGCCCAGGACAAAGGGAATCTGCAGCCTTAATACCTACTTCTATCAGTGACAGCTACAAGTTATATGTCCCCAAACGTTTTACAAACCTCATGTGCATTATTTGTAAATCCTATTTTATAGAGTTATGTCCTCATATACTGCTGCTATATGTGGCTGTCTATGAAAACACAAAGGAGGAAAATTGCACACCATACAGTTTATGTGATAGAGTGCCTCCGAGTCATGTAATAAGTAAATAAAAGTCAGACAGGCCTCATACATGTGCCCTTATTCATTTATTAGGGATGTCACCCAAATTTGAACCGCATATTGCAAATGTGGATCTTATCTCCGTAGTTGTGAATGCAGAAATGAAAGTTGACTACACAAAACATATACTGATGACATTAAAACAAACACATAATAATGCATTGTCTTTGTCCATTGATTCCTAACATGGTGGCAATGTATTCACTTGTTTATTATTTTGACCAAAGTTCAATAAAATTTTAATTGTGTTCATCTGCATGTGGTCCTCTCCTTTGGAAGTCAGCTACGTGTTCCGACATATTAACTTGTGCATAAATTCAACAAGGCCATATGTATGTTTCCAGCTTTTTTGTGCAAAGATGAACAAAATGGACCACATCTGTGCTTAATAAGCTAACGTATGCTTTTCTACAATTTACAGTTGCACAAAATGAGCAATCAGTGTCGGATGTTATCTCATAAACACTAAGCTAATGATCCCTTGGACAAAAAATTTAAAAAAAAAAAAATACAAATCAAAACTATTTAACCACTGCTGATTTAGAAAAAAAAATCAATTGACAGTATATCATTTAAACTCTCAAGTGACTTCTAACTGCAAAAAGAAAAAAGGAAATGATGTACAATATATAAGTTCCCTAACATGCAGATTTAAGGAGCAGGAAGCAGCAAAACAGTCATCTCCAGGGCAGGACAGGGACTACAGCAAGAAGCAGAGGATTGGTCAATGCTCTGTTCAGGGGTACACCCCATGAAAAAGCAATAACAGACCCTTCAATCTCCATGCTGTTGTGGGCAACATGAGGCTCTCAGTCATATTGGACCATGTCACATGGCCACATCTACATTGATCTTCATAAGGTCCCATTTTAAGGCATGCCAAGACGGTCACATCAAGGTGACGAGTTGTTGCAACACATCACTATTCTACTTAGTAGGTGTTGTGGGAAGTTAGCCGCTTCCCAATATATATCCTAAAAGGAAAGAGACAAAAGTAAAATTAGATGCTGAGAGCAAAACATATAAATAACCATCTGGAAAAATTTTTAAAGTCTCCAAAAATATGTCTTACAAAAATACCCTGGAGCAGGGACTAAATGTCTTTACTTCATCATCATCATCATACCTTTGTCACTAGAAAAAATATGCAATGTTTTTTTTAAACACTACAGACTCTACAGGCAAATTATTGAAATGACTTAACTCTACAGACAAATTACTACTGGTACTAAACAGAATTTCCTCAGAAAGCAAGTTATGCTCTCTGCAGTTTTTTGAATAAAATAGTTGGGACACATTAGACTAAACTGAGTGACCTGTACACTCTTAGGGTTAGGAACAAAGCTTTGAACATACAAGTAGTTTACCCACTAAATCTGAGACACTGAACACAAGCATTACTGGCCGCCGCTGGCTGCCTATCCAACAATGCTTCCAATCATGCTATACTCTGAACACCCTTTATGTTTATGTCCTCTGCTTGTTTTGTTGTGGTTCTCCTCTATTTACATATGTTAGAGGTTTATGGAAGTAAGATCAAGGTTTATCAATGACATCAGTGATGTTTGTAAACAGTGGGAAAACTGGTCTATATTTTCACATATACATTAAATGCATGTGGTCAAAAATTGGGGTTTTAAAGGGTTTTTAGAGGATCCTTCTGTAATTGCCTCTAGAGGTTCCTATTAAGTGTTTTTAGTTTGGGGGCTACTGTAATATTGCCAGTTAGCAATTAAATAATTTTGCTTACCCTAACCCAACAGCAAGTATGTGAGAAATGATTAATGAGGGCAGGAAAAGCTTCAGAAAGTCAGCAGAGAGAATGCCTCCCTTCTTCATGACGCTGGTGTTCCTGATGCTGAGAGAGGTCGAGCGCTTAGGGTACTTCAGCAGGAACTCCCTACAGAGGAGCACATTAATTTTTCATTGTTTTGAATACATTAAAATGAATGAGTGCCAGTTTAATGTCACACTGACACCTATGCTAACACAGACATCATTTTAAATTCAATGAATTACAATTATAAATCATGCCATAAAATAAATATACTTAGGCTACTATATGTAAGTGATTATCACTATAGGGTTTAACAATTTCCTCTACCATCCCTGTAACTACAACCATTTTTCCTCTTGCTAGTGATTACTTTTGCATTCAAACTGTATCAACGTAGTTCATAGACATCAACACTTTGCTTGAATTGTGTAATAGCTAATTTTTTGTCCATATTTTGGAATAATTACTCCACTGAAATTACAAAAACTGCATATCACAAATTAAGAGTATAAGTTATAATTAGTGGTGGAAACATACTTTGGTGGATTGTTCTCAGGTCGACTAGACCAGTCCCAGATCCAGTCAGCATTTTTCTTCATCAGATTCTCCACTTCCCGTCTTGTTTCTTGGAAGTCTTCATCTGACTGAAAAATACATCCAGCATCAACTTGGTCATCACAGATATTTCAAAACAACAGTATGCTATACAATATCAAACAAACTATTTAATAAAACTACACTTAATTTGAATGCGATTATTAGATTTTGATACAGGTCAGTAGTTCCAACAAATATACCTGTGAGCTGTTTCCCTCTGAGCCTCTCCACATAAGAAGGGGCGTCTGTGCTCTGAGTGGGCTGATGTAACAACGACACATAAGGGAAACTTTGTGAATAACACTTATTGACAATCTGTGTTACACAACACAAAAGAAAAACACAAACTTTGTTTCCCCTTTTCCTACAAACCTGTTGCATTGAGAGCTTCCTCTGGAACTGTTTCTGCCCGACTCGTTCTGTGCATCTAGCAGCATTTTTTCCACGTCACACTCCTGGCTGGACGTGGGGATTTGCTCCTGGCTACCGTGATGACTTGTACTTTGAGAGCCATTGCTACTGAAATGCAGCTCAACCCAGGAACCTAAAATCAAATACAATAGTCGTTACACGTGAAACCTGGTGAGTATGTAGTGTTGTATCACTGACCTACATAGCCTGGGACTGCCACGCAGGCTATGGGTACAGTAGAACAATCAACATGGAGGGGCTCTTAGCTTGAAGGCATTCTGTTTTTGTAGCATTGCAAACAAGCCTTGTTAACTAACTAGGACGATGGGGTAACGTCTTACAGTGGTCTCTCTACGTCTTATAGAACAATTAAAAAATGTAAGCTTGAGCCTGCTGGTTTGTTACATCAGCTCAGGCTTTTCACAGGGCTAGTCTAAGCGATTTAATGTTAGTCACCTTGTAGTTTCTTAATTATCGGCTAGCAACTAGCATCAACACTGGTGAGGTACTAGCTTGTTTTGACGTTTATACTTTACCTTGCAAACTCTCGTCAGACGAAATGTCCTTTTGGAGCGACATTGTAATGGTAGAAACTTGCGGATCCACACGTTTACGCAGCTTTAGATGCCGAAATCTAAGTGAAATGGTGGCGAAATCTCTATAAGCAGCTGGAAATCCAGCTACCACAATAACAATGACGCAAGACTCTGTTTATCTACAACGTGATTGGCTCTGAAAGGAGGGCACGCAGAGCAGGTTGACTGAGCGCGTGTCAGCCACTCGAAAACAGCACACACACAAACACATCCACACATACGGAAACACGCTTCCTTAACAACCCCAATAAACATAAGTTTCATATTAGCTTTGTTAAAAAATCATGTTAACACCCAAAAGAGACATTTTGCTCATGTCAGCTTATTTGGCTGAACCCAATTTATTAAAGCAGTTCCACACACCTGTCTGCAGATGGCAGTCGTAGCTCATGACACCCCCCTCTCTCAGTTTTGCTTCAGTTTGAAGAGTAAATATTGTATACCATGTGATAAAAGCCACACATCTCAGTCTTCACTTAACTATGGAATAGCACGTGATGGAATTATTTGGCCTAAAATGTAAATATAGTATGTATTTATAAAAAGCCCTATATATTTCAATATGAAATGTGCTGTGGTAAATATGTCTGATATGGATGCACTGCCTGCACTCTTACAGTGTCCTTACACCACCGTCCTGTATTGATCAGTGTTAGTTACCATCCTACAATTAAATTTGTACTTTCTGGTTTAGAATTTGCTTTCACCCTGACTAAAAATGTACTGTATTTTGACAAAGTAAAACACGTGGTATTTATTGTTTGGGACTTCTTGAAGAGGCGACTCCAAATTTGAGGCTGGCAAATTTAATTATGTTTTCTACCATGGAGATTAGTATGACTCATTATTCTTGCAAAATGAAATTATTGCTACAATTGAAGGGGGCTTATTATTCTGGGGTGTGCTCTCCTTCCTGGCAGACCATGGTTTACACAGAATATATGGAGCTTACTAGATCATTTCAAAACAGAGATAAATTACTTGGGCAACCGGTAAAAATAAAAAAAAAAGCAGTTTTCCTCCTTACCAAAAAACAAGCTTGCACAAACAATAAGCAATATTAATTAAATCCCCTTTGGAGCTGCATCAGGGTTTTGTTTTGCAATTAAGCATTTTCATTTTCTGTAAGCTGTTTTGAACAGTAAGCTATTGTCTACAGTGTAGTCTCTGTAAACAAAGTATGTTTGCTCTATTTTGTCAGGGAACTGAGAGCACAATTAAGAATCACACATAGACAGTATGAAGGAGACACACACTGATTACGCTACAAGTAAAGAGTTTCATTTTAAATTCTGCTCCCTCTAGCAGAGGAGAAAATATGCCTTTTGTCACACTGTACATGGGAATACCTGAGAATTCACTTGTAAGACAGACAGATGGATAATTCAGAGTAGACATATTAACAAATAATGGCATAGTGGGGAGCAATAATCACTAGAAAATTTCCAAATATTCCAGCCAGAGCCATAACATTGTGTATGGAACGACAACTGCTAGATGTCAGCCAAAGAGGCGGCAACAGAAACATTATGTTCCATATCACGTTTTTCTATAATCTAAAAACAAGGCCTGTATATTCTAATAACCAAGCCTCTTCAAGGTGTTCAGCCCTGTTCAATGTAGTAGCTACAAAGTTTAATATAATAAAATGTCAGTGATATTGATTTTATCAACAATCCATACACTTAGTGTTCCACAACCGCTAAATAAACATTTATGAAAACATAAGCGATAAAAAATTTATCACAGATAATATCTCAAATAATATCAAACTCTGTGTGAAACTTGTTTAAATTTTCATGTAGTGCTGTCAGAATTTATGATAGAGGCAATACTGGCAGTAATTTTGTTAAGTGTTATGAATGTTGTGTTCCACTCCACATCCTAGCTCTCATTACAAAAATGCCAGCCAGATGGTGTATGCACCACAATGAATGCATTACACAATGTTATAACACGCCTCCATTCTCCATATTGAGCTGTTTGCCATGTATGGTTTTGACCAGAAGCATTATTTAGAGTTCAACACATAATCTGATTAATAATATGCAGTTATCAAATAACAAACAAAAATATGAAAAATTTATTTTGCCACATTTATAAGCTCACAAGAGCACTGAGCAACTGGCTTTGCAAACGCCGCTGAATTTACACTTTATAAAAGCTGTAGCCATTGTGCAAAGCAGTTTACTCAAAGATCTGAGAGAATAAAAAGAAAACCTCAAAGCAGCTCAAATATATACAAAAGTAAACTGTATTCAAATCAAGAATTAAAAGTAAGATTGTAATATGAAACATTTACAATCCCAAGGAAGGAAGTCCCCTCTCTCTTTCCCTTGAGCCCATTAAATTAAACCAGAAATTAGCGTCTGGAAGTCTGTCACCGATCACCATAGATAATCTACCATTATCAGAGGTACCAGAGGTCTTTCAGGAAGAAGAAATTCACATCCTGCTTTGCATCAGCTCACCCAAGAAAGAATTAATGAAGTAAAACCCAAATGGTACAAGAAATCTAATTGAACAATATTAATGGTAATATCAGTGGTACAAAAACACTTCAGCTGTTCTTTGCCCTGTACCGGATGTATACCTTATGAATTTGATTTTTTTTTCTCTGAAGTGTGGTTTTTGTTGTTTGAAATGGCCTTGATGGACGTCCGTTCACTATAAGTGCCCTTCTACTTGTAGACATACCCATATAGTGTAAGATCCATTGGTACCATCAAGGAGAGCAGTCATGATCCTTTCCCAGAAACTTGCTCCATCACCGCATGGGAGGTCCCAAGAGCTATAGTGGGCTGTAAGCTGTACAATACAAATAAATAGATGATGATAAATAGATAACTCAAAATGTAACAGATGGAATATTGCATACAAATTATCTATAAAGGCTTGTTCAATTTGCCAGACAGCAATATTGCCATGCAGTGCAAATAAATCAAGTCAAGTTTGTGCTTAGCTTATTTGACTGGGTTTGCTACCAGCTGCCAGCGGTATCACTTTGTTTACATGCTACATTTAAATCATGGTTTTTCGTAACGATAAATGCAACACTTACTTTACGCATGTTCGACCAAAGACAACTCAGCAAAATGATCCTCGAGTTCCTCTTGCACTCAGCACGCACCACGTATTTGTTATTATTTCTTTATTAATTTTAATCGTTAATTACGCTTATTTTATATTTTAAAATATAGCGCTCATGCTTCCCGCCAGATTAGTTTTTTTTCGTTCCCCGCCAGATTCGTACCACAATGGCGTCAAAAGATACGTCACTTCCGGTTGCCATTTCTTAACTCATCTGGGAATTACCTGCACGTAGCACCACATAGACGTGAAGTATATCGCATCTATTTTGGTTTCAATGGAATCTCGAAACGTGTTCAAAACACCGGTAAGTGCTGCCAAACCACCTGCGGAATTTTCCCAGAATGTTTAAACAATGCTAGCTCTTTGTAGCTCGTCTAGTTTCAAGTGTAAAAAAATAGCTAACTGTGTTAGTTAGCCTACATAAGAGGCAAATAGGGGCTAGCTACAAGGCGTTTGTATAATTATTTTATACAAAATAGGCCATCCGTCCACTGTCAGTTACATTACAATAAAATAATTCAAGTATTATTCAGCCTATATAGCTATCTTCATATATTTTCCCTAACCAGTGGTGTAATAATTACTCACATCTTTTACTTTACTTAAAATATACTTAAGGTACTAAAAGTAAAGTACTTATTATACAAAATGGCCAATTTCGCAATAATGTATACCATATTGCTGCTGAATTGTAGTGGAGTAGCAGTATAAAGTAGCAGAAAAATGGAAATACTCGCATAAAATAACTCTTAATTGTACTTAAGTACAATACTTGAGTAAATGTACTTAGTTACTTTCCACCGCTGACCCTAACCAATAGCCTGTCAAACATCAGCATACCAAAATATAGCTAGCTATTCAGCCAGCTTATTGGGTACAGTTGCTTCTAGTAATATCCTAAACAATGACCACAAACAATATCAACACTAAAATGCCAATAACATTTTCATAAAATGATGATTTACCTTTACAGCAGTGGAAAGGATCCTCAGTCCACCTCCTACATCTCAAATGTTTGGAGAAGGCGAATCTTTCAGTACAAATCACCTGGAAAAAAGGCCAAAGGAGACATCATCTGCTGACCAGTAGAGGTAACTGCCACAACATACTCATCTGAATCCACATGTGAAATGGCACTACTGAAGTATGGAAGTGTAGTAGTCATGTCATACATGTGCAGGGGAGAATACATCTTTAAATGTTTAGACAGACTACGACCACTACTCTTCATAAGTGGAATGTGGTCAATGGTTCGGGTGCCTTAGCAGGGCCAGTCCACCATCCACTTCTATGCTGGAAAAATCTGTTTAATACCCATTGAAACAGGAACACTGTGTAAAAAAAGTAAATTGTCCATAGAGGTGAAACTATATCTCATATATTGATTCCACTCACTCTGCATAATGTAATCATGTCATGTTTTGACTTTAAATAATCAGTTTCTGTGACTTATGATTCCATTGTCCATGAAAATACTCAGTTGGTTTGCCTTGTTGCCTAATACCCTGTCAAAAAGAGGTAGAACAGAGAATGTTGACACTTTTGCAGCAGATGACAAGGGTAAAAAGGAGAAGCAGAGGGCACATACAGATGTCACAGTTTATAGTGAGGCACAGTTTGTTCTATCTGTGTGTAGGTGTGTGATAACTGACAGCGTGTTGAAGGATGAATTGGTGTCAACAACAGGTGGCTGGTGTGGACAGATAAAGCACAATGATAGTAAGCTTGATCAGGAGTTGGTGTTTACTCTGTGTCTGTGTGTAGCTGACATCATCCAGAAGCACATGGTTGGGATGGGGGGTGTGCATAAGCATGAAGAGTAGAGTAGGCCAGACTGAAATTGGATACGATCAATAGCACAGACGGGACAAGATGGCTAAGGAAGAATTATGGTGCATGGAGCAGAAACTTAATTTGTCATGAATGTGGATTCGCTGCAGAGCCTAGAAGCATTGTTGTAGATGGTGCTCGGGAGTTTCACAGAAGGCGGGAGTATCTCTGCTTTTGATGATGATGAGAAAGGAGAATGAGTTATTGGAGTTACTTCATATTACATCCTGTATACTTTTATTAAACGTTAACTCTCTGTGACTGATATTTAAATGAGTAAGACCCATATTTTGGGATAACTCATAACTGTTCACCTTTAAAACTTTTCACTCATTCGCCCCCACTTCTTTTCTTCTGTCTCATTCAAACAAGTTCAGTAAACTTAAGTTCAGTATCGTGTAAAAGAGAATTTGTTTATAAAATAAAACTTCAGACATCGATTTTAATGTGCTCAAAATGAGCAAACAAAACAGACAGACAGAGTGCAGGGAAAAAAAAGCCTGTCTATATAATTTGCTTAAAGTGAAATAACTCACAGTCACATTAGTAACATTAACAATAACAGCAGTCACATTAATTGAATAAAACTGCTATAGGGACATTTAGATGGAGTATTATGTCTAAAAGTGACCCACACATTTTGTGCACCATATACATATGATATACTTTCAGCTTTTATGTATGGATGCAAGAAACACTTTTTACTGAAGTTTTATATTTTTCATTCGAACAGCATGACCTGAGGTAAATTCTGTATAAATTAGGTAAATTCAACATCCATTGTGCAATACAATCCTGTTAATTTAATCAGATCATTTTTTTAATCAATAATTTTACCATATTTTTTGTTGCATCTAGAAACAAAAAAGGAGGTAATGTGAATATATTAAAGCATGGATGAGTAAAGACTATCCCAAAGAATGAACTTCCATTTGTTGATGCATTTGATATATTTAGCAAATTCTATATATACTATGTGTTTTGTCTCTCTTTTTCCCAGTTGGGTCCCTATTCTTCTTCGGTCTTCTTGAACCCCTTCCCAACAAGCATGTTTGGCTTTTTTGATGAGCTAAGAAAATATAAGACCCTATTAGCTGATTAACTTTATCCCCAGCACAAATCACAATAATCCATTTCTCAAGGACTGGAGATCAAGAATGGCCTCTAATCGGTCCAGTCTTAGTAAGCAGAAAACATTGGGCCTGGGAAGTCATTCAGGAAATATCTACATTTTCAGTTTTCTTACTGATATGGTTGGTCATATCAAATTTCGCATAAATGCATTCACATGCAGAATATACAATCTGCATATTGTACCTAGAAATATTGTTATTAAATTGCATTATTATTATATAAAAATATTAATAATAGTAAGATTTTTCATTGAGTAAAATCTTGATTGTGAATGTGATGGTGAGCAGGAGGGGAAGAGAAATCAGTGAGAGTGAGATTGCACGGGGCAAATTAAACAGGATTTCCTGCTGCTTACATCCTTCAAACTATCATTTGATTATTTTGCATCCTTATCAATTCAGGAGGGAGGACATATTATACGCCCCAGTGTGCATGATGCATTGTGCTCAATCCATAATGAATGACCCAACATTCAATTAAAAACACTCTATTCATCACTAGCTATGATTTAAACTGGTTAGTATGGTCTTGATGCCTTTGTCTGATTCTGTGCGACCCTGCCTCGACAATCTTTGTATGTCTGGGATGCAGCCTGCTCTCTTTGGTCTTTTAAGTTTACCAACCTTTTTGAGAGACATGACTAGCAGCTTTAAAAAGCACTTATTGTGTTGTACGCAGGAGAAATTAGAGGTAAATGGAGAGGACTGACTCGGGAGCTGTGTGAAAGCTATGGGAACTCCTGCCAGAGGCAGCTTATAAAGCATAGTTTTAATAGCTGTGGTGTCACAAGCATAAATCGTGACGCTCTGAAGTGGCCTTTAGAGGGGGAAATAAATCATTGTCTCAGCAGACAGCGAAAATGGACGTGTGTGGGCGTACACGCTGAGAATAGCAATCCTTAAAGTAACCGACTGTTTACAGTTTGTAACCAACTGTAATTTACATTGACGTGGAGTGAGGCGCAGGAGACTGAAAACTAAATTCACTGACACATTTGACAGCATTCATTAACACAATTAATTCTTTATGTCACCAATGTTTTTGTGGTTTCATCATTTTAATCATGAAATACTGCCAAGTCAACTGTTTTCATTGAGTTGTTTTTTTCCCCTTCAGCTCCTGATGAATTTTTAGGATTGTAATGGGTATTTTGGCATTTCATCTCTCTATCATTTGGTGAGCAAATGCTTAAAAAAACTTTAATGTATGCATCCAATATGGTTGTCATTTTAATTAAATGATGCATTCAGAAGGCAATCTCTGCAGTTTAATCTTTTAAGACATACTGGTATGCCTGGTAAAAATGTTATATTATATATGAAGGATTGTCTTGCAAATATTCTATGGTAGTAAATATTACATAATGTCGATCGCTCAGTATTAATACAAAGAGCTACTCCTGTTAAAATGTTCCAACAGCTATAATAATCTATGAGTTCTTCACTTTTCTTACATTCTATGGCATGTTATGACACGCATTTGTCCCGTGCTGTTTAAACGTATCGATACCAACTGTCAGCATCAGTGCTCCAACAAAGCCTTATAATCAAAAATATTCATCCTCCTAAATTCTTGTTGCCATAACTCCTCTAATACCAAGGTTTTGTCAGATTGTTCGTGGGAACACTATCAGCAGTTTACCATCTGTGGTAAATACTGGATGTTGTATTTAAAGACTCAGGGACATGGTTAAACCCAAACATGTGTACCACAGGAATCTCAAAACTCTAGAGTCCCAGAGACTAAGTCATGGGAATCATTTATTTGCTGTATGCATGAGAGGTTGTTGGTGGAAATGTTTGCTAAGTTAAAACAATTATGGATGATGCATTTACTTTATTTCAGATTCACATACTGATACTGGTCAAAAAGTCTATTTGTTGAAGAAAGGTTATAGTGCTGTGAAAACTGTGCTAAAAAGGAGAAGAGATGGGGCGCGTTGATAACAGACCAAATCAAGGAACATGACACATTGATAAGCTTGTGTGGATATTAACCTCACAGTGTAATTTGCAGCAGCCACTCATATTTCTATCGCTGCACGATTTCTGTTTGACTCCAGGGGAGGATTTAATGATATCCTGATATGAAGGGCCATAATTCATGTTAAACTGCATTCAGTATTGTTGTGCCACCCGTACCTCCTAGGCATAATTTTCTCTTCATATAATTGTCTTGTTCTTGTGCTTGTTATGAGAGAATGAGATAGGGTGTGGGGTGGGAATATATTTTTGAGTACAATTTGCTGTCATGCGCTCTTGGTATTGTTTGTACTGTTGTACAAAGATCTTTGATTTGCAATAGCACTGTAGCATTTATGATTATTTGCTTTTCTAAATCTATCTTTTCTTTTATTCTGATGACTATTATAGAGAGAGGTTTATTTTCCAAATAACATGCATCCATTTTGACATTCCATTTCTCTTGTACATAATTTGTTTTCAGTCATAATAAAATAATTTGCCGTGTTTGTTTACACACTGTTGACATTTCAGTGGATTTACAGTATTTATAAAATATTGCATAACAAATACGAGTAAACATTTTCTTGAACTACATTGTGGTCTGTCAGTTTGAAGAGCTGATAAATGCAGTTTGCATGTGCTGTGATATGAGCTTTAGACATCTGCCTTTTCTATTAGCCACATTATTCTTTTCATTTTCACAGTTTTCTTTCAGAAGTCTTTCCTTTTGCTTTTTGTTTAAATCATACTCTCAGTCGGTCTTTAAATTTTATCGCACTAGGACCCAAAGCATGACAGATGATATATAAAAAAAAACACACACAGACGTAGAAGACATATCACCCATGTTATCACAGTTGTACAGTGTCAAAGTGTAAACTCACAGGTTATCACAGCGGAATACCAGCTGTAAAACAAACTGTACATTTGAGATTTTTTGCATTATTTAATATTGCAAAACAAATATTTACTGACATGGAATTACACAAAATGTCAAAACAGAAGAGTAGTATATGCTACATTTCACATTTTTCAAACATTCAATAAACATCTTCTAACATAATTTTAATGTAATATTTACACTGGCTTTGAGCCTTAATGTAGAGGACCAACGATGCAGTTTTTGAAGTTCATGCATAAAAACCTTATTCATAAGCCTCTTCTGTTTGTTTTGCAAAGGATCTTTTTAAAAGACCTCCTGAAGTCATTATTGAAGATAGTGTAAATAACAGGATTTAGTGAGCTGTTGCAGTAACCAAACCAGAAAAACATTTTGAACAGTGTCTCTGGAAGTCCTTCGCAGCAGAGGTGACACAAAGCAGCGAGCGTGTATGTGAAGAAAAAGGGGAACCAGCAGAGAACAAACACTCCCATAACCACAGCCAAAACAAATGTGAAGCGCCTCTCTCTGTACTGCCTTCCTTTCCACTTGCTCACCCTCACACAGGGCTGCACATCTGGCTTTGGAGAGGTTTCTCCAGGCCTCATCTGAGCCACTTTGACTGTCCTTAGACCCCTCTTTTTCTTCAGGGAACATAGCATGGTTTCATTCCCATCAGAAGAGGAGGGTTCTTCCTCCATGTCGAACCCATTGATTTCTCTGCCGTCCCCCTCTTCCACTTCCCTCCCTCCTCTGTCTTTTCTCTCCAGGGGGTCCAGACCACACTTTGTGTCCTCTAAGTTGCCATTTTCTCTTTGCCTTTCACCTGGCGAGGCTCTTGTTCTTTTCTTGGCAATCTGGTAGATTCTAACATAAACCATAATCATGATGATGCAGGGTGCAAAGAAGGAGGCTGTGCTGGAGAATATAATGTACCATTTCTCCTCATTAATTCTACAATCAGGGCTGTCCTTGTTCCCCTCATTCTTTTTCATTGTGATAAGCGGTGGGAATGAAATGATGGCAGCCAGTACCCAAACTATGAAGACTGTGCATTTAATCCTGCGTGGTGTCCTTCTCAGGTTGTACTCAATCGCTTGAGTTACGGACCAGTATCTGTCCAGGCTGATGGCACACAGGTGAACGATGGATGAGGTGCAGAAGAGCACATCCAAAGCCAGGTAGATTTCACACCACACTTTACCAAAGTACCAGTAACCCATCAGCTCATTCGCTAAAGAGAATGGCATGACTAAGGTGGCAACCAGAATGTCTGCACATGCCAGAGAGACTAAAAACAAGTTCTGAGGTGCTCTCAGGGCTCGGCTTGTGATCACAGCAATTACTACCATGACATTGCCAAAGACAGTTAGCAGGATGAGGATACCCACCAGGATCGTTAGAGGCACAGAGGTCTGCACAGTATAAGGGTTCCTGACAGACAAAGTCTCATTTTCTCTGGTGAAGATAAAACAACCCATCAGGATGAGCTGTGGTGTCGATGATGTCTGAACAGTGCTCTGTGAGGAGGCTCGGAAGCTTTGCTTGCCAGCAGTCTATTAATTGCATCCATTCAAGAACACAGCATCAGAAGATTGAGTCTCTTCATTTTGTTGACTGGAAAATACCGTTGCTTCTTTCCTCTTTAGCAGTGAGAACATTGATATCGTCAGAGAAAAATTACAAGATATGTTTCTTTATATTAAAAGACCAAAATGAAAAATAATTAAGGGAATAAAGTGAACTTTGATTTATTCCCAGTTTCCCACATCAGAAACTTTAAAAATACATCTATTCTTTAAAAAATAATTCTTCATCCACCAACCTTTTTAGACTGAAAACTTGCAGCTAAGTCCCTTGGAAGACATTTCATAAAACAGACTTACATTGTAGATAGTGCTGGCTCAGGCAGATCTTTTCATCTGCCGTGGCTGAAGTGGAGAGTACGTCTTTTATATGGGCTTGATCTGACGCTGAGGATCTGTGATGCTTGTACCACTTCAGTGAGAATGGGAATGGGCGGGGTTCATATGCTGCTGGAGATTTAAAAGCAATTTGGTGTTGCTTGCAGATCTGAAACCATTGGCTGATTATGACATTAACAATATTTTTGATTTATAGAAGTAATAACTGTAGTCTATTAGACTATAATGATTCAATGATATTTAAAGTACTAAATCTAGATTTAGTAAATCTAAAGTACAAAGTCTAGAATGTTGTAGCACTACATCCCTGCAACATGTATCGTTTGAAGAGAGGCACATCTGTACAACTGTGAACCTGTTTCTTTCTTGTGAACTATGGCACTGGTTCTCAAACTGCCTTTGTCTACTTGTGACCATGTCTACTTTTATGTACATGAGCCATGGGTGCAGTGTATGCAATGTTGTATTTTACAACCTCTGTCTTTTATGTTTGCAATCAGCCACATTATTTGTGGTAGAACAAGCCAACATACTGTATATGAGGCCCACCTGCAGTTTGTGAGACAAACACACTGAGGGAGCTGTTTATCAGAGCTTAGCTTCAAACCCAAAGATCTGTGTGCCATACTGAGATGTGCTATTATAACACTTGCTGCTGAAATGTGCTGTCTGAATCATATAGAAAATTAGTTATGTTTTGTTCTCCATTGCCCTTTTTACTGAGACCTGTGTAATATTTTGTTTAGTAAGATTAAAACAGATATTGACTTAAACTGTAAATATGGATGATGCATAAAGAGTGAGTTGGCTGCTCATATATGAATCATTCAAATTAGCCAGTTACCTGGATAAAGCCTGCGAGAAGAAAAAAAACGATAAAACGATAAATGAATATAAAAGAACTTGTAGCCTAATAGTGTAACTATTCCGAATGAGAACATGATTGATGAGGAAATCCGACATGCTGCACGCTAGGAGTTACCTGACTCCAGAAGATGGCAGCAGTGCAACATTTAGGATGCAAGCTGCCATTAAAACCCAGATAAGAAGAAGATGCCATGTTATCGCGAGAAAGTCCTCCACGGGCTTCCGTTTGGGTATTTGTGTTCCGGAGGACGTCGAGCGGACTGTTGTTCTTCTAAGCAGTCGTTTTTGGCAAACAATCGAGTTGGAAATTTGAATGCTAACTGTATTTATCGGTCAAGAGCATTTGTACGGAGGTAAGATTACTCTATGTTTTGCGATTCCCCTCAGCCACTCGCAGCTAGCACTAACTTAGCCGTTGTACGGTAAATTTACGTCGATGAACAAGGGCCGAGGGATCTTCCTAGCCGTTTGAAGCTAACGTTAATGTTATAACATCTTACAACATCTCTCCTGTAGATTTTGACTAGCCCATGTTTAACTCAATATAGGTTTAATATAGGTTACACAAGCAATTTGAGTGATTACGTTAATGCTAATGTAAGCTAGCTGACTAACCGAAGATGTTTACTTCTTGCTAATCGAATATGTGCTAATACAGCTAGCCAAGATTTCCATCAAAAAAAAAATGCTTTTTTTGTTCTCACACAGATGTCGGACGACTTGGTGAAACAGCTAAGCAGTTACAAAGCTCAGCTGCAGCAAGTAGAAGTTGCTTTATCCACCGACCCAGACAATGAAGACCTCCTTAAACTCCAGAAAGACTTGCAGGTTTGTTCGTCTGTGTGAATGAGAGACATCAAAAGTATAGAAGCTGCAATTATTAGTCAACAAATCAATTTGTCGATCGACAAAGTTAAACAAATCTTTTAAATATCATTAATTTTTTGGGACAATGTCAAATATTTGCTGTTTCTTGTTCCTCCTATGGTGATTTGATGTTTTGTTTGCCACAGTATCATAGTAAACTGAACATTGCTGGATTTGATCTTTTATTTGGACTTTTGGTCATACAAGATAACATTTGAAGGGTTCACCAGCTTTTTTCTTCCAAGTATTTTGTGGTATTCTGCAGACATTGATTAATCAGTTAAACTCAAAATAATCTTGAGCAAAATCTTGGTTTCTGGATTCTCATGGAGATAAGACTAATAATTTCAGATGTATAACAACTAAAATTGCTAACTAAACTTTAACTGGGGGAAAATTGCCTGCACACTGCATGAACATCTGACTCTCTTTTCATTGTTTTATCCCGCAGGAAGTCATCGATTTGACTAAAGACCTCCTGACCTCACAACCCACTGATGGTGCTTCAAGTACTAATGGGTCAGACACAGTCCCCCTGAAACATGGCTGGAAAGTGGGGGACAGGTGTATGGCTGTGTGGAGTCAGGATGGACAGTGAGTGTCACCAGCCTCTTCTCATGAAAACATTACGTGCAACCGCATGCCTTATAGCACTACAATTAGAGCAGTGATTTTATGGATTAGTTTCTGTCACTTCATATTAATAGTTTATCTTAGGTCTCTGAGATTGTATGTCACTTAAGACAAAATACATTACTTTGGACAAAAGCATGAATATATTTAATTGTAGTCAGAAAATTAGTGCATTTTGTTCTTGAGATGAATTGGAACACAACTTCATGCATGTTTGAACTTAAGGGCAACAACATTCTTGAGGGATGTTCATAGAAAATGCTCTGATAATATCTTATGTTCGCATATGCAACATATTCACTTATCATAAATTATTATATAATAATCTTAAACTTTGCCTCTTAAGTAGAGCTTGAGTCTTTGGCTCATACTCACCTGCTTACAGACGTGATTTTTTGGCAGGGTGTATGAGGCTGAGATTGAGGAGATAGACCGAGAGAACGGCACTGCAGCTGTTACCTTCACTGGATACGGGAATGCTGAAGTGATCCCTCTGCAGAACCTCAAAGCAGCAGAGGAGGGGAGACGCTCTGATGAGGATGGAAGTATGAAGCCCAAATCAAAGTATGAACAAAAAACATTCTCTCTTGTTGTGCTTAAATCATGCTTATTAACATTTTGAATCAAAATATATGAGCAGTCTTTATCTATACTTGCCTTGTGTGAGCGAAAATTGGTAGTAATTGGAAGCTTGGTTGGTTTCACTCATGGGCAACAGAGCACACCAAAAAAATAGTAAATGCACACATCCTGCAAAACATGAACAGGTGCTGGACTAATGAAACAACGTGCGAAAGAAAAATAAAGGTCCACAAACTGTAGCTCCCTTCTGAAATTTTAATGAGATATCCACCAAGAGCACGTAGCTTGAAACATCAGGGCACTTACAATTCTGTTGTACTAGACCATATATTTTTAATTAACCTTTTTTTTTTTTTGTCTCATGTAGACCTTGGTCTTTATAATTATGACCAGCTCCTTTTTAAATTGTATGAGTGTAATTCTAGGAAGTAAGCACCAGCTAGTGGTGTAGTATTCACCTACAACACCTTGCTTTATTAGTCCTCACTGGTTGGAAATAATCTTGGACCCCTAGAACCACAAATTAAATTTTTACATTCAATAGGGCCTTTGACTTTTTGTTACTTTGATTGACTGATTAAAAATGGACTCTGGGACAAATTTCTATACACATACACACAGTGGAGACACCTTGCATGTGCATAGATTACCTAAGCTTCTTCAACAGCAACAAGTAGATTTCATATCCATAACAACATGTTTGTAATTATACATCATGAATAGGATTGTTCAGAACTGATGTTTCTCCTTGTCTGTCTTTTTAGGAAAGAGCAAATAGCAGAACAGAGAGAGTATAAGAAGAAGAAAGCCCAGAAGAAGGTACAGAGGATGAAGGAGCTGGAGCAAGAGAGGGAGGAACAAAAGTCAAAGTGGCAACAGTTCAACAACAAAGCCTACTCAAAGAACAAGAAAGGACAGGTAAGTTTTCTGTTTTTTTTTTTTTTTTAGAGGACTGAATTTATTTGACTGGACAAAGATTATACTCTGTAGATGTCTAATTTCTTGCTTGATATTATATCCCACAGCAGTGCATAGTTGTGAAATCCCACAATGGGATTGCATTTAAATTAGCCGGGCAACAGCTCTGTGAAAGTAGAATATTTTAACAACTGACAAAACAAGAATGCCATTAAGTCACAAGATCTTGTGATCTGGTCTTGTACTGTACCTCTAAAACCTCTAATTCGCACAATTGCATGAATGTTTCAGTGATATGTAATTTTGATTTACATCATCCCTCTCTTGTCTGTCACACTGCATGCTAAAGTTGAAAATTTGTAACCATTAATAACTGATTTTCTGTTTTTTGTAGGTAAAGAGGAGCATATTTGCATCTCCAGAAAGCGTAAATGGAAAGGTGGGAGTGGGAACATGTGGTATTGCAGACAAGCCTATGACCCAGTACCATGACACATCAAAGTACAATGTCAGACATCTAATGCCCCAATGACCTAATATATTCTGTACATAAAAATTCACTGTATACTAGCTATATCAGTGCTTTCCATTGTGTTTATACATGACTTAAGTTTCTCAAGTAAAGAAAGCTTTGAAAGGAATTGCTTGCACACCATTGTTTGAAATATTGATGTAGTTTTCCTTATATATTATGTGGGTACAACGAAAAACATTTTTCCCTGCACTTGGACAAGGTCACTTGTTATGTAAGAACAGGAAGCTGTGTTTTAGAAAAGCCGAAAAGTTTGCTGTTTTTGTCCAGCTTCCACCGAGGCCAAACACTTGCTAAAATGTGTATAAATATACACCTGTAGTTTTAGTGTGAACATTTATGGCTGGATTTTAAATACTGACCAGTTCTTGGTGTGTCTGAACATTGATAATGGCGTTGATTTGAGATGGCTGAATTTACGTTTTAATTTCTGTATATATAACAGTGAAATAAACATTGTTACCTTTTCAGTTTTTTAAAGAGTTGCCTCCACCGCATTTGGGCTGTTTTTACATGACCTTTTCATTGTGGTTCTGTCAGGTCCTGTAGGTGGCAGTAAAGACTTGTATCATTATTAATAAATCCATGTCATGAGCAGCACGCTGCAACTTTAAATACAACCCATTTTTCCATTGAAGTTCTATGAGTTTTTTGTTTGAGATGTTCGACTTTGTTAGTTCAGGATGTTTAATAGACTATGTTAACTGAAGACCTGATAGAAACCTGTGTTTTCTTTTAACAAAATGAACGGCGGGAAACAATTACAATGTGACAGTGAAATGCAAGAAACCCAAGTTTATTATCTGAATAATAATGGTAGGCTTACCAAAAAAAGACAATAATGGTAATGTCTGGGTAGAAGAGGTTTATTAAGATTCCAGGGACAGTTGTCAGGAACTGTAACAAAGTATTAGCAGGGGACCAGCAGCACATGTTTTGCAAAAAAGTCACCTTGGATGGCTGATTAAGCACAAGAGAAAACATTCTGGGGTGTGCTTCAACTTACTTCCTTAACAAAAGTCTTTTTCATAGTGCATTTTATAGTTTCCCAAACAGGTTGGGGGGAGAAAAGACCTGTAACAAGGAACTTTGTGCAAGAGTCATACCCATGTTAAGACACAATTTGGTGGTGATCTACTTAGGACTTGGACCAGAAAAATGCAGATACATGGTCATATTGAAATGGTGATGGTCATATTGTCTTATTTGGTTTCATGGATTCCAACAGGTCAGCAGTGCAATTCTATGTGTCAAATATACATTGAATTAGTGGGAAGTCTCCTAATTTCAAGGATTCAAACTTGTACTTTTTCTGCTACAATACAAAAAAGATACTGTATTAAACATTTAAGTATAAACCAAAACTAGTATTCTGTAGTGTGTATGTTGTTCATGCTACAGACATTTGTATAAGACTTTTCAATCCAAAGCACATTACAACATGATTAGAAAGGCTACATTCAATACACATGCACCATAGCTTTTTTTTTTCTTTTTAATCAATTACAATCATTTTTACTGTTGATTGTTAATAACTGATACCACTACTGGAGCAAGTGGAGAACTAGCAAACCGTAATTTGGTGTTGGACGGACAGAAGTGTGTCATAAACACAGCCAACATTAAAGATTAAAGATATGATAAAAACTAGACGCGTTATTGCTTGAGCCTTGTACTTGGACAAGTGCGGGATAGCTTATTACTGTCTAGATAAAATGAAATAGAATATGCGCACAGTGTGAAAGAGATGGTTCCTTCTTTCAGCAAAACACCACTGAGTAATGCACTAAACCTGTAGCACTGCATATGCCTCAGTGGGGATTAATTACATCAAGTAATTGGGTAAACATTAAAAAAATAATAATGAAAAAAATAATTTTAACAGCAGTTTTTTGTTTGTTTTTGTTGGTTTTTTTTTCATTCAAGCATGACCAAGACCTAGCTACAGTACAATTAAATATACCAAAAATAAATACTATAATCATATGCAAAATAAATTAGAATAACAAGGGTGGACTACACCACCTGTTTGGATATGACTGTGCTTCAGTCAAGAAGAGGGACACCACGTGGATCAATGATGGTTGTGGGTCCTAAAGCAGAGGTTATAGAAGTGTAATAAACATTTTGGAATGCAGACATTGTAGCCCTTGTCACTGGCTTGTTCACTGACAAGAAGTGCCTTCTGGATATATTATCCAAAGAAAAAGGGCAATGTTTTTACAAGGCAAATGGAGCAAACGTTCCCAATGGTGAGCTTCTAGCTGGTACTGTTTTTTTTTTTTTTCTTTTGTGTGTGTGAGTGTTTTTGCTGGTTTCAGAAGATCAACTTGACTAAAGGTAGAGTTTCCCCTTCGTGGGTCCTCTACAGGATCAGTATTGAGTGCAGGTGATTCAAGCTGGCTATGGGTAAAGGGAGATTCGGGTGATTGGTTTAGTCAACTTTAAAAATGAAGAAACTATATTGGGTGAGAAGTTAAGTTTGAGGCTGATGTATAAAATGTTTCAGACTGATGTAGAGGAGCCCCTTGACTTCTGGAAGGAGACAATTTTAAACTTTTAGACTGAGTTGAACTTAAGGCTGGTTCTCAGGTGGAGTAGATGTTTCATTTGTCAGGTACAGGTGGGATTGAGGTTGGTTCTTCTTAAGACAGGGAACCTAAACTGCGAAGGAGAATGGAGCTGTAGGCTGGTACTTGGAGAGGTGAAAGCCATAAAAGACTGCAGCTGAAGTGAATGTATAGGCTGGTGCTTTAAGCAGAGAAGGCCAGTTTTAGACTGCATGTGGCGTATCCTTCGTCACTGGCTAAGCTCTGCCGGCTGCTGTGGTCGTCCAGGTCACTTGCGCCACTGGTGCTTACACTGTCCATTTCTCCATGGGAGAACTCAGTGCTTTCCACGTCAACTTCTATTTCCTCTGTTCAATTACAAAACAAAACACCAACATGAATAGGGATTCATTTTATGAATCATGCAAGTCTTAATGTTTGAAATTGTGCTTTTCTAACCGTATATGGTGACAGATTTTAAACAAATAGATTAAAATGATTAAATTACAAACTCTAATGATGCTACAAAATTTGCCCTTGAATAAAGGCTCTAATTTGGACACTAACCTCTGTCAGACTCTGAGCGGTCAGAGTCCATCCGTGAGCCCAGGCTTTCTGTGCGGACCCTCTCCCTCTCTCCATGAGTCTGCAGCTGGGCTAGCTGCCTCTGCAGGTGCCTCTGCTCTCTCTCTAAGGTCTCCAGCTGGTGCTGACTCCTCCGGTCCACCTCTTCAAGTTTCTGAAAAGAGGGAAATACATGAGACTTAATTTTATTGTTGCTGTGTAGAAACCTAAAGATAATGATGATGATCAGATCGTGTGTGACACCTCTCTAAATACTACTCATGATTAACTGCAAAGTACTGTATATACATGAGAGGATGGAGAACTTATCTGGTGTGCACTACTGTGATGTTAATATGTAGTTGTCGCTGCCACCCCCCCCGTGCCATCTAATAAATTATTCAACACACAAGAATAGCAAGTTGCTTGTTGGATAGTGGAATAGCTGGTGTCTGTGTGTGGGGGTGGGTTTCAGTATACAAATGAAAGTAAAGATCATTCTGTCCTGCTTTTTGGCTTCTTAGCTCTACTTTATTTGTTTAAACTTCCCCACCTTGGTCATTGATTTTTGTCCATTTGTGGCGTTCAGTTGTAGTTTTGAGTAAAGCCTCTATAGACAAATTGCTCACTATCAGTATATTAGGTTACGCTTAAAACCAAAGTCCTGGAGATGCACTATGAACCTGTGTAATCATAAGGGAAGGGAGTAACCAAACACTTCATGCCAATAATCGCATCTGATCATGCCATAAATTTAAAAAAAACAAAAACTGATACATGCGAAGGTAGTGGCAGAATAAGTCCTAACATTTTATTTGCGAGCGAGCTGAACACTGAAGACTTGTGTCTTAGACGATGTCATGAGTGCTTAGAGAGGCACCCATAAATAAAATGAATTATTATTATTATGATTATTATGGTTCATTTCCTCCAGTGTCTCCCATGTGTAAATATTTGCCAGATATAAATTTTTTTTCCTGTTTGAACATACATAAATATGACATATGGCGAGCCAGACAACAACACCAAAACCAATTTGCTTGCATAACAATAACCTTTTTGTAATTATTTTAACCGTTACCCTCTTATACCAAAATACACCACATGAGGTTTGTGAGCTAGAATAAATTCTAAAAGATGAGACTTTGTTAGAACCATGTGCTGAGAGCCCTGAGTAATGTTTCCCATTAGAAAAGCAGTGAAATGACCCTGTTCTGAATGGAGTTTGGTACAAGTAAGAGTAGCATTCCTCTGTGCTTGTCCTGTAGCACAATACAGGGTGTTTCTTTTTTTTTTTTTTTTTTTTTTTTAACTTCCTGCAGCCGTGAGCTTCATGCTGGCTGCACCTGCTTCACCCTTTTACTCTACTACACAGCCTCTGGTTCTAAAAATACAACACAGCAGCATTCAGAAGCCACATTTCCTGGACTTCAAACAGGCAGGTCCAAAGTCAACAGTTGACATCATAGGTGTTTATCCATTACCCCCCGCTGTGATACACTCCCACAGACTGCTGCCAGGACTGCTTTCATATTGCAGCCCTCAGTCATCCCTCAGCTGCTTCTCACTGCAGGAGCCTGCACAAACTGGGGCCAAGAAAGGCGAATATTTCAAAAAAAAAATGTCTGGCTTAGATTGCAGCCACCGGGGGAGCCACAGTGTTGAGTCTTGGATGCTTTGACACTGCAGAATCATTTGAGCCTATCCTCAGTCTCATGTAGTTCAGACACACTCAGTGGTCCATTCGGGCAGGCAGCTCTAACAATTAGGACAGATCTGGTGCCCTCAAGACCAATAGTCAGTGCACTATTCTCACATTATCCTGTAGAGTGAAAGACACAAGACTTAATCAAAGACTTGCCAAGGGTTCAAAATCCTGCAAAGGACAGCCCTGGCAACAGCTCCAGGGAGATTTGTTCAAAGGGAAAGAAAAACTGAAATAACTGAGAAGCAACCACAATGTCCTAATGCTGAGGCCAAAGTGCCTGAAGGTGCAGTTCATTTAATGGTTCTGAGAAAACAGTTTACTGTTTAGAAGTGTCTGGGAAAACCCCTAACTTCTCTGTTTCTGTACATTTCATTTAACCAGTATTGATGTGAGGCAACTGGGTGACAATTTAGCACCAAACTGGCCTCAGTTCTGTGTTCACTGTCCTTAATCTTTACATTAGACATTTAACTGAGCCAAAAAAGTTCAAATAAGAGGTAGAAAATCCAGACTTCCTCCTCTCTCCCTGGTGTTTATACCGAGTCAAGTATGATTACAAAACAAATGGGAGCAATTTCAATTCAACCTTTTCATCCGGCAACAACGTGTTGAACTAACACACCCATAGATGTACAGAATTTCAGAGTTCAGGTGGATTTCAGGCCAAGTATTGAGCTTTCTTTGTAGAGAGTGGAGCTGCACTGTGATCACACATGATGGACAGTAAAGTATCTGTAAAGCGCAGCAAACCAGAGACTGTTGGCCACCATGAGTGAGAGCTAGGAGACTGAATACAATTTTCTTCTAAAATAC